AGCTTCAATCCTTCAAAAGTCAGCTTTCCAGTCCAGAGCCCTTCTCTCTAAAAAAAACCTCCTCCCCTCAACTGCCCACAGCCCTTATTTATAGACATTCCGGAGTGACCAGAACGGCCTGTACCGAAACCGGAACGGCCCGTTCCGCACCTCCTCAACACATACAAAAATTACATGCAGAACGGTCCGTTCTGAAATAAGAACGGCCCGTTCTGGAACTCATCCAGAACGGCCCGTTCTTCAACTAGAACGACCTGTTCTCCCTTCCAGAACGGCCCGTTCTCAGCTACGATTTACTGGTCATTTTAATAGCTTGGAACGGCCCGTTCCAGATTGGGAACGACCCGTTCTGGGCTACTAAAACACCAACTTGCTACGGCACACCCTGGTCCCATACATAGTATGATCATCGCAGTCCAAAACACATGGAAACAACAAAGGGTAAGCTAGTGAAAAGAATCAGCATACATATGTGAAATATGAAGAATAAACAACTACAGCTATCAGCACATCAACCAGCTCAACAATATCAGCTTAACATATTATAGCATTCAGCAATAATAGTACCGACATAGCGGCTATAACAGCACCACAATAGTGGCTAATAACAGCACCGACATAGCAGCTATAACAGTACCACAATAGTGGCTAATAACAGCACAATAACAGCTCCACAATAGTGGCTAATAACAGCACCAGCATAGCGGCTATAACAACACCACAATAGTGGCTAATAACAGCACCGACATAGCGACTATAACAGCACCACAATAGTGACTAATAACAGCACCGACATAGCGGCTATAGTACCATAATAGTGGCTAATAACAGCACCGGCATAGCGGCTATAATAGCACCACAATAGTGGCTAATAACAGTATCGGCATAGCGGCTATAACAGCACCACAATAGTGGCTAATAACAGCACCGACATAGTGGCTATAGTACCACAATAGTGGCTAATAACAACACCGACATAGCGGCTATAACAACATATGTAACGACCCGGCTAGTCACTACACACGGCATCGTACACTAGAAACTCCAGACAGATAGAACAAGTATATAAATATAGGATCTAGAATATATAAATATACAAAGTTCTGGTCTGACTAGGGTTAAAGTGCACTAAAGAAAATTACAACCAAATACTACTATCCCAAGTAGCTACAAGCAAAATATCCACACAAGCAAAACAGCTCCAAGGTCCGCCGGAGACTCATCCCAAGATGCCCACCTATTCCTGTTCTGCTCCTATCAAGCAAACGAAGTAGCTGAAGGAATTGCGAGTCAACAAGACGGAAACTTAACATTATTTAGAAAAAGGTAATTAACAGATTAACCTCTCTGTTCCAGTTTTTAGATCACTGGTTACGATATTCTATATTGGATATTGGACAACTTTAGTGGTTTCCACTTCTTAATGTTGTCAAAATAGAATAGCAGGAGTTCTTTTGCTATATAAAAAGAAAAACATGAAGAAAAAAAAAGGCTGGAGTTACTTAAAAAGCAAGAGTGGTGTGGTAGAGGTGTTATAAAAATGAGGTATCAAACTACTTTTATCATATGTTGATTGCCTCAGCTTCGAACTTTCTTTACTGTATATCTGTTTATTTGACTCCTGAAAGTTAATGATATTTTCCATGAGGCTGATAGAAAAAAGAAATTGTTGAAACTTGAAAGACAACTGCACATGGATCCTTGAGGAAATAGGTTTGAAGAATTCAAAGCACAATGACACTGGTAGGGATCCTGATGTCAAATTTCAACTAGAACAAGAAGAGCCTCTGTCAAACCTGGGAAAACACAGAAGATTAGTCAGAAAAATAAATTACCTTTGTCACATTGAGACATCTCGCAGTAAGCTATCAATTATGATGGCCATTTGGATGCTATGATCCATATTCAAAATATATTAAAGGAGCACCAGTAAAAGGCCCACTAAAAAGGGCATACTTAGAATGTCTGGTGGATATTCATATTATGATCGAGTAGACTTGAAAATATATGGAAAAATTAATATTATTTTTTTATGATAATTTTACTAGGTGGATACAATATAGTCTATTTCTAACATTGTATTTATAAGGAAATAATCCCACCGTTATAGGAAATAAAAATGTAAAAAAAAAATTACAATGGTGTGATAGGATGAAGCACATAAAAATATGTGCATTGAATAGTATTATAGCGGCAAGATATGACTCTTTTGGTGGACAACTTTTAGATATATTAACCAAAAGTGTTTAAACTGGGAACTATAGATATTCGTACACTGGCTTTAGAAGGAGTGTCGGAATATGTATTAGATATGTGAAAAAATATGTTGATTGAATATTTTACGTGTATCATGTTGCATAATATTTCCATTGTAATTTTTTTTTTACATTTTTATTTCCTATAACGGTGGGATTATTTCCTTATAAATACAATGTTAGAAATAGACTATATTGTATCCACCTAGTAAAATTATCATAAAAAAATAATATTAATTTTTCCATATATTTTCAAGTCTACTCGATCATAATATGAATATCCACCAGACATTCTAAGTATGCCCTTTTTAGTGGGTCTTTTACTCGTGCTCCTTTAATATATTTTGAATATGGATCATAGCATCCAAATGGCCATCATAATTGATAGCTTACTACGAGATGTCTCAATGTGACAAAGGTAATTTATTTTTCTGACTAATCTTCTGTATTTTCCCAGGTTTGACAGAGGCTCTTCCTGTTCTAGTTGAAATTTGACATCAGGATCCCTACCAGTGTCATTGTGCTTTGAATTCTTCAGGAGAGAAAAAAAATGAATAGGGGAAGTAGGGTCTCACAACATACATCTCAGCACAGCACAACAATATCAGCATCCAGCACAGCAACACACATCAAATACAACTTTAAATTAGCATAACGACATTCGGCACAGCTCAGCTCATCGTCTAACAACAATTACCAGAAATTTTCATCACATAAGACATCATCTTATCCGCGCCCGGCGCACTCATGATCGCGCCCGGCGTAGCACAACCAGAGAACACCAGGGGTTATCGCACCCGATAAAATTCCTATTGCGCCCGGCGTGATAGGAGATAGAGACCTCACAAGGTCTCATACGCTCGGCGTACAAACCCGCGCTCGGCGCAAGATAAGCAGAGACCTTCCTAGGGTCCCACGCCCGGTGCAATATAAATTGCGCCCGGCACCACCTCTAGCAGAGACTCCCAAGGAGTCTGTACGCCTGGCGAGACAAGGTCACGCTCGGTGCCACACCAGAACCACAAAGCACGAGTCCCCTACTGATATCGCGCCTAGCGCCCTCACACCATGCCCGGCGTGGGCCATCCAGAGGCTCACATTCTCAAGCTCACCCGGCGCATACACCACTGCGCCTGGCATGCTTGCCCAAATGAAGCCCTCTGATGGTCACGCGCCCTATGCGAAGAACTGCACCCGGCGTGATACCCAGCAACAACTCACCAAGTTTCAAAATTTCCTCCCAAACTTGCACTAAAACAACTTTCCAACACATGCAATCGGCCCAAAACACCACATTTTCACCAAAGAGTTTAAAAACATCACCTTTTTTAACATGCAACCATAAACAAGGAAAAACCCAAATTTCACGCAAAACCCGGAAACCCCGAAAATGAGTTTTCATCCAAAAACCGCTCAAATCCTGCGAAAATCTCAGCAATTTGTGAGTCCTAGCTCACTAAACACAAAATCGGCAAGAAATCCTAGCTTCCCTTACCTTGGTGAAGAAATCCGAGCTTCCGGGAAGAAGACAATGGAGAATAAGAAATGAGCTTGAACGGGGGCGAGAAGAAACTTGAGAAATCAGCCTATGAAGAAGAAAATTAGTTCACACCACTTGCACCTTCAGCCACCAAGAACACCACAAGTAAAAATGAAAGAAAAAGAGAAGTGAGAGTAGAGTGAGCGAGACTGAAGGTGAGCAAGGGTGGGAGGGTGAAATGGGAAAAAGAAAAGGTAGGGTCCTCACAGAAGTGAGAATCTAACTTTTTTAAATAAAAATATGTCATTATTTTTATTTTCTTATTTAGTATAGTAATCTTTTTTATTATCAAGTAATATATATAAATATTTTTAAAAAGTTTATTATTAACTACAAATTTAATTTTTCTTAAGATTCATGATATATAAAATATATGATTTTTCCGGTATGAAAGATTTTCTTATATTAAATGTGTCTTAATAATAATCAATTATATATATATATATGTTAAGTTATTAACATAATTTAATTTTATCTAAATTCTTGTATGAGAGTCGGTTCTTATAAGTGAGTTTCGAACTCAAGTTTTGTATGTAAAAAAATATTGAAATAAAAAATCTTACTAAAGATTTTAGTAAGATTTTTCAAAAAAAATCAAATATTAACGCAATTAATTAATACTTGTATAGTCAGTGTAAATTTTTTTTATACTGATAATCAATTATATCTCTTAATTGTACCATGTCACTATAAACACATTTACTTTTAATAGTGACATGACACAATTAAGAGATATAATTTACACTGACAGTGTATAAGTTATTAACTCTTATACTATTATATTAAGAAAATAAATTGTAAGCGAACAATTATAATTTTGAAGAATAAAATTACATCTGAATGTAATTTTTATTAGTAAATGATAATGGGTTTAGTTTTGTCACTTTAGAAAGGACTTGAATTAGAAAAGTGAAAATTTAGATAAAATAGTTGTCGTTGGCGTGAGTAGTACTAGTATACTATTGTACCAACAAATTGATGAGTAGAAGGAAGGTGTGAAGCGTGATGCATGAAGGCGTGACAACGTAGTTGTTGATGACGGTTTAAATGAGAGCCACCGCACGCACCAACAACATTCAAACTCCTTTCCCACGTGGCAACACCATCGGTAACTACCTTATTACCACCGTAAATAATAATTAAAAAACATTCAGTGGACCCCACAGCACACAAAACATTAACATTAACATTAACATTAACCACACCCTTCCCCTTTTCTAGTTTCTGCTTCATCTTCTTCTTCTTCTTCCTGTCCTGTCAGATCTTCCTCCTTCCTCTTTCTAATGGCTGTTGCTGTTTTCACCCTCTGCTTTTCTTTCAGGAAATTCAAAGGGTGAGGGGTTTCCTCTTTTCTTGTGTATTCTACTTCTTTCCACGCTTCAAGTTCAAACCTTTTCATCAGCTGAATTCACTACCAACTTTTGTGGAAATGTTTTCCATTTTTTATACCCTTCTTCTGAATTTTGCAGTTGCTAATGCTGAGTTACTGTGGCTCAGTTTCAATTTTGTGATGTTGGTTCCTTTTCCTCGTTTTTATTTGACATGTGGTTCTAAAAATCAAATTTTTAAAGGGGTTTGCGTCAATATAACGGAGCGAAGATGAGGGAATCTTAACGGGTTTGACTCGAATTTTACTTTTTAGTGGTGGGGTTTGTGCTTGTTGACTTAAAGGGTTATACTTGTTTTATAAGTACTTTATAATTTTCTGTTATGGGATTTCAATTCCACTGCATATTGCGGCCTACTCCGTAGGATCACTTCGGTTGGAAATTTCATATAAGTGATATAACGGTGTACTCGGTACTCTATAGAGTTCTGAAACAGTTTTCTGTGATGTGTGAATTTTATAGTATGTGTGTGTGACAATGGGTGTTTGCAGAATTTTGAGTGAAGAGGAGCAGTATGGGAAGCAGGATTAGAGAGAGGAGGGAAGGTGAAATTGGAAGGAGTTTGCAGGAAGATAATGAAGTGCCTACGGTCGGGGGAGTCGTTGGGAGGAGTTGATGAATTGTTTCCTTCGTCTGGATCTCTTGCAAGTGCAGCCAAGGACTTTTCTGCTAGTGGACATTCTTTCCTTGCTGAACATTTTGATAAGAAGCCGGACACTGGCAACATTGAAGAAGCTGAATCGTCCTTACGTGAGAGTGGTGTCTTGAACTATGAGGTTGATTTCATCAAAACACTTTACTTTTGGTTGTTATACCGAATAATCATTAATCAGATATGATTTGTTCGTTGTTGTTTACTCTATGCCTTAAAGAGAGTGAGTGTGTATACATATGTTTGACATAATTGCATTCTGTAACTGCAGGTGTATTTGTGTTTCTTCTTAATTTAAATTAGTGATTATGGTTACTACTATGATTTAAAGAAAAACATGTCTGTAATGTGCAGGAAGCTAGAGCTCTGCTAGGAAGATATGAATATCAGAAAGGAAATATAGTAGCTGCTTTGCATGTCTTTGAGGGAATAGATGTAGGTGTTGTGACTCCTAAGATCAAAGTTGCCCTTTCCAGAAGTAGAGAACGCCGCAAGAGGCATTCCCAAAATTATGCTGAATCACAAATGTCTATACATTCTGTTGGCTTACTATTGGAAGCTGTCTTCCTAAAAGCAAAATCTTTGCAGGTTCTTGAAAGGTTTAAAGGTACCGGTCACTGGTTGTTTGATTCATAGACTTGTTCTTTGTTTCTCTCTCTCTCAAAATAAATTGAGACTTCTTTTCAAGGCTAATATTATTTTTGTTGCCATACTTTTTGCTATGCTATCTTAAACTGTTATATAATTGTAGACGTGGAGTTTTGTAGACTATATTATAAAATTCTCAATGCTAGAAGTTTTTTAATATTAATTGTCATATTACATTGTTATGATGATGTTTTAACCTGGGTTTCAATGATCAAGCCAAAAGATGATGTGGTAGCATAAGCACTCATAATAATAATTATTTCATTGTCAATCTGTGAAATATTGCTCTGGAATTGGTTTCCATCACAATGAGACATGTAATAGCTTTCTAGATAATGTCCTTTTATGCCTCTACCCCCTGATTCCTTGATATGCCATGTCACTTGACCTGATATTTGTGTTATTTACCTGCATTACTTGAGAACTACATAACCTAAAGATCCCGGTAACCACAATATTGGCATTTTGGCAGAAATTATTTTACGTCGTGATGGAATTTTTCTTAACACAAGCAGTTTTAAAAATTATGAAATTGTTGAGGTCTACATGAGAAGTCAAAGGATATTCTAATATATCTTTCCAATCATTCTTGCAGAGGCTGCCCAATCATGCAAAGTTATTCTGGATATAGTGGAGTCTTCATTGCCTGAAGGCTTGCCCGATAACTTTGGCTCTGAATGTAAATTGCAGGAGACCCTGAGCAAGGCAGTTGAGCTGCTTCCAGAATTATGGAAACTTGCTGATTGTTCACGTGAAGCTATTTTGTCTTACCGACGAGCACTACTTCATCATTGGAATCTTGATGCAGAGATTATAGCAAAGATTCAGAAGGAATTTGCTGTTTTTCTCCTTTATAGCGGAGGAGAAGCAACACCACCGAATCTCCGTTCCCAAATGGATGGCTCATTTGTACCTAGAAACAACATAGAAGAGGCTATACTTCTTTTAATGATTTTGTTAAGAAAAGTCACTCTAAACAGAATTGAGTGGGATCCTTCAATTTTAGACCACCTTTCATTTGCTCTATCTGTTTCAGGAGATTTGACAGCCTTAGCCAATCAATTAGAAGAATTGCTTCCTGGGACTATCCATCGAAGTGAAAGGTACTTTGCTCTAGCTCTTTGTTATTATGGAGCAGGTAAGGACTTGGTAGCACTGGATCTTCTTAGAAAGTTGTTGAGTAATAGAGAGGGCCAACACCATGTGCCTGGTTTGGTAATGGCTTCTAAGATTTGTTGTGAGAGCTCTACTCTTGCAGAAGAAGGAGTAAGCTTTGCTCAGCTAGTGCTTCAAAACTTGGATGGAAGATGTGATAAGCTAGAAGATCTTGCCAATTTCTTTCTCGGTGTTTCACTTTCAGCACACTCGAAATTGGCCATTTCTGATTCTGAGAGGTTAAAGAGACAATCTGAGGCACTTCGTGCCCTAGAAACTGCTGGCAGAACGAGAAACCCCCTTGTACTATACCATCTCAGTTTAGAATATGCAGAACAAAGGAAGTTGAATTCTGCACTTTATTATGCTAAGTGCTTTCTAAAACTGGAAGGTGGTTCTAATGTTAAAGGATGGCTATTGTTAGCCCGGATATTGTCTGCTCAAAAACAGTTTTTGGATGCTGAATCTATTATTAATGCTGCTTTGGATGAAACTGGAAAATGGGATCAGGGTCATTTGTTGCGAACAAAAGCTAAACTTCAAATTGCACAGGGCCAGTTAAGGAGTGCCATTGAGACATATACTCAAATTCTTGCAGTTCTTCAAATTCAGAGTAAAGGTTTTGGTTCAGGGAAGAAGCTATATAAGGTTTGTTGTTGTAATAACTTATGCTGATTGAATATTTCTGAATCTCGGGCCTTTATTCTTGTTATTATTACAGTTAGAATTCGGATGGATGTAGTCTCCCATGAAAAATTTTAATTTATAAGATTTTTCAAGAAATTTATAACCATGGGTTTGTAGTTACAAACAAAGGAAGTATCCTGCTAGTCTCTACCTGAGAGAGTGAGAATGTTGATAGGAACAGTAATAGTGAGAGTACTGAATATTTGGTCATCGTTTTATTTGGTTTGAGATGGAGTCATTTCGTGAAAAGTAGATGGAAGAATACATAGAGTCCCAAGTTGTTTGTTACTGAATTCGTCTTATTGTATTTGCTGTTTACAATCTTCTGTTGATCTGTCAAATTATTTATGAAAGTGTTCAATAGTTAGATGATTTCTTTCTAGGTTTGCCATTCATGTCTTAAATGCAATCTATCAGGATGTGCTGTTTCTCAAAACAAAAAATAAATGTTTTTTGTTCTACCTGTATGATGCTCAGTTTATATGCTGAAGAATTTTTTTATTAATGAATTGAAGTTGATGTGGTTCATGTAAGGCATTAGGCTTTAGGCATATGCATTTTTCATTATTGTTAAATTTAAAATGGCTATTTGTATTTGGAAATTCAAAATCCAAGATAAACATTATTGAATCTGGATACATTTTCTTTCTATTCTTTGTAAGTTTTTTCTTTTCTCTTTTAATAATTTTAAATTTTACCTGTGCAATAAGACAAACTTCTAGCTGCTTACCTTTTCTTTCATGCCACATGACAGGATAATAGAGATCGTGCTAGGAACTTAGAAGTGGAAATATGGCATGATATTGCTTATGTATATATTAGTCTTTCACAGTGGCATGATGCAGAGATGTGTCTTTCAAAATCCAAGACCATCAAACCACTCTCTGCTTCTAGATGTCACGCAATAGGTAAAATATATATATGACTTTTATTTTTAAGTTTTTCCATTTATTTTTTCTCCTGAGATGGAAAGGAGGCTAACAGGTTTGAATCACTTGAAAAGATCTGGCAGATTTTGGTCGACACAGAGTATGCCCTATTTGAGTTGAACTTTTGATACATAGCAACGATTTTTTACATAATCCACTAATTAGAAATCACTCTAGATATGACTTCTAAAGTAATTATTTAAAACTTAACAATTTTTAATTATATAATAATCTATGATTAGATGACATTGTAATGAATTGTGAATGTATTCCAATTAAATTCTTATTTGTTTAGAGCTTTGCAATATGTTGGTACATTGAGGTGCCAAGAGATCAAAGATTGAATGTGACTCCGGATGCATGCACCTTAGGGGAAGCAAACTAACTCAAGTCTGCATGCATAAGTAAATATATTTAAAAAATGCTCCATTTGCTTATTTACATCTTATTTGGACTTTTCTTATAACATAAATTATTGTATAAGTGTTTGAGAGGGCTTATAAAAATAGGTTATGATTAATTCATAGGTTGTTTTCAACTTATTTCAATAAACTCTATACGATAGTTTATGAAAATACTACAGCTTATATAAAAACAATTTAATCTCATTTCTTCTTTAATTATAAAACAATTTATACATAAGTGCTTACATGAAAAGTACTTATTTAATTTAAGCTTAGAAGAATTGAGAGTTTTTCTATTGAAAAATAATTATTTTCAAGCCCTCAAAATACTTTCGGTTTGTATTCAAACAGATTCAATTAAACTGTTTACCCAAATAGTCCCAAAGTATAATATATAACTTCTTTAGAAATCAAAATATATCTAATGTATAGATGAAAATTTGTTATCGTCGGCAGAATAAGTTGTATCAGATTGTAGAATCCAGTGAAATTGATAAAGTAGAGAATAAGCATTAAAATTTCCACTATAGTTGCTTCTCAGACTTATGTTTTGTTTGTTAAAATTCACAGGCATAATGTACGAAGCAAAGGGCCTTTACAAAGAGGCTCTAAAAGCTTTTGGTGATGCTTTGGACATTGATCCTTGCCATGTCCTCAGCTTAATCTCCACTGCTCTAGTTCTTAAAAAATGTACTAATCAATCGAATCCAGCAGTTAAAAGCTTTCTGATGGATGCACTACGGCACGACAGATTCAGTGCTTCTGCATGGTATAATCTTGGCCTTCTTCTCAAGGCTGAGGGTACACCATCATCATTAGTTGAAGCTGCGGAGTGTTTTCAAGCAGCACACTTTCTTGAAGAATCTGAACCTGTTGAGCCTTTCAGATGACTCATTCTATGAAAGTTGGTCTACGGGTAGAAGCAAAAGCAAGCATGTTTCTATAGAGATTAAATAGCAAGGAATTTTCCTGCGAATCCTTTGGTGTGGAAAGCTAGTTCAAAAGAAATAATAGTGATAAGCAAAAGAAGAAAGATGGCAAACTCTACATGCAGTTTTGTGGTGCAATGATTCACGCTTGGTGTATTCATGTATAATTTTCAAATGTCTTCCTTTAGAGGTCAATTCAGAAAGTAATAAAAGGAAATGAAAAAAAAAATATAGGCTTGTTTCTTGTTTAATGATTTGATTTGTGTTTGATTTCCTTGCTTGCGATTTTCTCTTCCAAGCATAATGAATTCAGTTGCTAAACGTGTCAAAAAGAATAAAAATAGGAAAAGTTTTGGACATAGCATTTGTTACACCATTATGTTATTAAAATGTTTTCCAAAATATATACTAGTTTTTTTTGGAAGATAAATATTTACTAATGTTGTTGACTAATTTCTGATAAGAACCTGATTGACTATTTTTTAATAGAATTTCTTCTTTTAATTATATTTCTTTATTTAGAAGATTCAAATCAAGACATTAAGATAGAAAAATCATACACCAGTTGATTCACACATTGGGTGAAATATTAATGCCTGTTTAGCCACAGAAGTACGAGGTTTAAGCTACATCCATTCAAAAGCTGTTTGCCTTTATAGATATTTGATCTTTCATATTCCTAAGAACCACCTTAGTTCTTAACATACTCATTATGAGTATCAAATTATATTTTAAAATGTTTGATTAATCAGAAATATAATGGACATCTAAGTGTCCAAAGTAAAAGGTTAAAATATCTAGGATACCATACGCGGATCATTTGCATGAAAAGCTATATGCAGAACAGGATAATGTATTTTAAGGTCGGGGAAGGTGTTTAGATTAGGGGTGTTCAAAGAACTATATTAAATTAAACTATTGTAAAAACTAAACTAAACTAGATTATAAAAAACTAAACTAATTTTTATAAAAATTAGACTAAACTATATTTTAAGTTTTAGTTTTAAAAACTAAACTATTATAAAAAGTAATTTAGTGCACTATAGTTCTATGGAAAATCAAAGCTACTATAGTTTCCGGCAGTAGTTTAGTGCACTATAGTTCTAAATAAATAATTAATTTATAGGATTAAAAAAAATAATTTTTATTTATTAATTGAATAAAAATTTATATACCTTTCGTAATTATTACTCTTTCAATATTTTTAATATAAATATTATAAAATTTAAAAAAATGTATTATATATATATGTACAAACTTATCTCTTTATTATCCAATTATTTTTGACGCTAAAAAATATTATTATTTTAATAAAAATAATTTACAGATATTTCCTATAAATATTTTTATGAAAAATAATCTACAAGAAATTTTTGCAAATTTTGCTACAATTTTAATGATCATAGAAAAAATTTTCTATGGTCAAAATTTACAGAAAATATTGTAAGAATTTTATTTTGTTTCTTGCAAAAATAAATTTGCAAGTAATGTTTACTAAATGGTAGAAAATTTTTGCAGGTAACTTTTCCTACGGATTTTCCTGTCAATTTTAATCTGCAAGAAAAATAAAAAAAATATTTAAATTTATAAGTTTAATATTTTAAAAAAAACTTCAAGTCTCACATCAATTGAAAATAAAACAATTAAAGAATATATAAATTGGGGCAATACTTACTTTATAAATTGATTTGTATGGTTGAGTGTTAGGCTTATAATCTACAATCTTAGAATTTAAAAGATTATATATCACATGTTGGGGCGTGAAAACAAATGCTTCGGATAAATTCATTGTGATCATTAGTAATTTCTTTAATTTTTTTCGTAAAAAATATTCTTGCAAAATTTTTTGCAAAAAAATTCACATAAAACTTTCTTGCGAATTTTTTTTTGCAGGAAACTTTTCTGCGATTTTTTTTGCAGGAAACCTTCCTGCGATTTTTTTTGCAAGAAATTTCGCTGGAAATTTCTTGCAAATTTTAAAATTCGCAAAAACATATTATCCACGAAGTTATTACTGTAGATAAAATTTCGCAAAAAAATTTGTAGGAACAATGTTTCCTACAAATTTTTATGAAAAATTCGTAGGAAAAATCGCATGTAATAAAAAAAATTATAGTAGTGTTAATTCATAATTAATATCAATGATTTGGTAGCTCAATTTAAAAATGTTGATTTTAAATTTTTTTAATGTAATTTAATTTAGTTTATAATTAATAATAGTTTTATTTAGTTGATATTATAGTTTAGTTCAAACTCCTAGAATTATAGTTTACTAAAGTAGATAATAATTTAATTTAGTTTAGTCAATATTTATTTTAGTTCAATTTAGTTTGATGAACTATTTATTATAGTTTAGTTTAATTTTCTTCTAGTTTAGTTCAATTTAGCAATTTGAATACCCCTAATTTAGATTATGATGGTTGACACCGTCTAATGCAATTGGCGTGAATGAGGTGTTGGATTAACATGTATATTTGAATATAAGTCGTAATTATCTAATCAAGTTTTGACTCATTTGGTCTATTGCCTTTTTCTTTACTCTCTCTCTTTAAACCGATACAGAACCATATACACAATAAGTCAATTAAATGATTCTCATAGATAAATTACAGGTTTTAAACTTTTAACTATTTGTTTTTGGTGACTATGGTTACAAAATTTACTTTTTAGTCCTTGTTATTAAAAATAATTTATTTTAGTATCTCTACAAATATTTTTCTTTTATTTTGTCTCTAAAAAAGTACTTTTATCAATTTTTTTTAAAAGTTAACATTGTTAACACCAAATGATGTGATGGTTATATAATACTTATGTGTGTTTTAATTCTTATATTATTTCTACATTTTAATTTTCATACTTAACCACTTTAACCTTTTAGCCTTTGCACTTAGATATTCAAAAACTTAATAATGCTAACCACATATCAAATGATCTTAAGTAGATAAAAATATAACATTATAAAGTAAGAAAAAATATTTTAAAAATATTTAGCTTGTAGATTAAACTATTAGCTTGCGAATTGAATAGATTAACATCTTAAGTAGTTCTAATTTACTTAGAGTGTGTTTGTATTACAGTTATGTTTAGAGTAATAAGAAAGTAACACTGCATTTACTTTTAACTTTTTTCATTGGAAAATAGAAAAAGCTTTTTCAACTATTTTCCAAATACATATTTAGTCTACAAATTTGACCAATTATGCACATATCAAAATCTATAAATACTTGGATATACACAAACCTAACACCTCATATTTAGATATATTTAATTAAAAATTTACACCTCATTAAAGATAGGAAAATTTTTTTCTTCTATTCATCCAATTTTTTTTATATTATTTATTTATTCATCGATTTCTCTCCCATACGCCATTCTTTCTTTCTTCCTGCATGAAAAAGCCAAAAACATCACTGCACAACTCACTGGTGGCCTTCATGTTTTTCACACCAAGACATTTGTTTTTCCTCTAACAACAAGAATCACAATCACACAATATAGAGATATGAATAGTCCAATTATTAACTTAGAAATTGGCATGATCGGGACACACACCTTGGCATTGTCAACATCGACAACAATCTGGTGATCGAGTGACAGTACAAGTGATGCAAATGTAGAGACAAGGAGCAGAGAGGTTGCTTTGTGTCGCAGCAACCCACCTTATTGGAATTATGGTGAAAAGTGCAACCTTCATGAAAATAAATAAATATATATAACAATTATCAAACTGAGATATCTCTTTTTAATCCCATGCACATAATCAAGATTTGATCCCTACTAACATGATTAAAAAAATCCAACACTCTGTTAACTATATTGACTTTAATATAAGTTCACACCCATCATCTACAAGGTTGTGTTATAGGAAGGTTTACAATACATTGAATATTTCGTTGTACAACACTCATGCCTGTGAGTCAAGATCCTCTCATTCCTTGTTTCTCCATTACTAAGATTATATAGAAATAAATGAAATGAAGATGTAACACTCCTTTCTTCTGAATATATTCCTTTCAGACAAATATTATAACATAATTCTAACAAATCATAGTAATGAAATGCACATAAATAATCATTTTTTCATGCGTGTACTATCATAAATATTTATCAATTTTTTTATTGACAAATAAAATTTTATATTAAAAATTGGTATCAAAGTACCAAGAATCCATGTACAAAAGGTCAATTATCAATCATATTTAAATTTCGATAGTTAATTTCTATTTATATCAATACATGAATATAAATAACAATTAACTATAAAATCTGACTTAAAGGATACTAATATACTATTCCACTCTTTCTAGTGATTACTATTTGTGCTTGTATCTAATTGTATTAAATGTGTTCTTGTCGTTCCATCTCCTCCCATAATAAATACCTGAAGATTGTGATTGTCATATACATAGATTTTAAACCCAACATCTCCTAATCTTACATTTGAATCTGTTTCTAATCCTACCGTTCTATTATTGAGTTACTGAACTTGAATAAGTGTGATTAAACATCAATTATGTATTTTTATTTTATAATTATGATATTGATATGAAATATATACATAAAATAAATATTCTTCTCCTAATATAATTTATTTTATACTTAAAGTTAAAATTCTAATATAATAAAATGATTTAGATTTTTTTATACTTTTTTTTTAATTTTTATTACATTTACATATTTATTTCTGTAATATATAATTTGTTATAAAAACTAAATATATAAATAAAATAATAATGATATACATACAATTATGATGCACCAATACGATACGCGTATCGGATACGATGATATAATTATTTAAAAATATATAAGATACGATACTTGTAAGATACGTGTTATCATATGTATCAATGTCCATATAATATAATAAATATTACTTGTAATTTTGATCAAAATTCATAAATATTAAATATATAATTTTTATTTTTCAAATTCAAATTAAAAACATACTTATTGTATATTACTAAAAATAAATAAATTATAAATCATTTCATCATAAATTACTTTTTATTATTTATAAATAGAAATAATATTATCAACTTTATATCTTTCTTAAAATTATCTATATAGAAGACAATTTTTATTTACAGTTCATCAAGAATCAATATTTCTATCTTTCTATATTAAACATGTTTACATATCTTATCTAGTTATAATGAATATTTCATAATTTTTCAAAAATTTGAATACTTTATCAATATGTATCACCAATAAGTATCGGTGAAGTATTTTAGAGTATCAAAATTGAATAAATTTTTTATAATATTTTTAAAGGCTAGGATACTTCATTGACGTGTATCGGTGAAATATCCAAAAATATCGTATCAGATACATATTAAATACGGATACGTGAAACAAATTGAAGTATGAGTGATTCGTAGACATATAATAATTTATATAAGATTATTCCTTTTATCTACCTCTTTTAACCCATTATTTACAATTTCCGATTCTTTTGAAAATAAAAAGGAGTATTACATTTTAAAATTCTCTAGAGGTGTTCATGGATCAATTTTTTTAAAAAACCGATCCAAACCAAACCAAACTGTTTTATAAAAGTGGATCGGTTTTATTTTTTTAAAATATGAATCGGTTTTTTTGAAATTAGATCGGTTCGGTGCGGTGCAATTATCCACTTTTTACTCATATATGAATCATTTTTTTTAAAAACCAAACTGAATCGATTCATTTTGTAAAAATAGATCAAATAACTGAACCGATTTTATAAGGTAGTTCGATTAAGAATTTTTTTCAAAATAAATCAAAATTTTCAATATAAATTGGATTAGTTATACATCAATTAGGAATTTAGTGCACAATGTAGTGTAGTGTACCGTTGCACGTATCCCTAGTAAAACGAAGAAAAGCGACAAGGAGGGAGTGCAAGAGCAGACACCGAGACAGTGTATTTATACGTTGTACTAAATACCTCTTGTCTCCCTCACCCCAGTTTCGCCTTTTGTATTTTGAAGTGTCCACAGAACAAACATAGCAGAGGAGTTTCTCTTCTTCATCTTCTAGAGAGACATGGAAGGTGGTAACCGGAAGATAGCAGAGGACGAAGCAGGGCCATCCTCTTCTTCTGGGATTGCTGCAAGTAAACAACAAAACCCACATGAAACTTTTCACCACCATCATCATCATCATTATAGGAAGGAGGCAGAAGAAGAAGACGAAACTGAGGAAGAGGAAGAAGACGACCTTGATCATCATAAAAATACCGCCTTTGTTCCCGGTCCTCTCCTCTCTCTCAAGGACCAGATCGAACGAGACAAGGTTTTCCGATTCTCTCCCCTCATTTACTTTTCAAATCCTGGGTTTCCAGCAAGTTTGAATTTTTATTTGTTTTTGCTTATTGGGTTGCTTTAATAATACTTTCGGATAATGCTTTTCAATTCATGTATATGTTGAAAACTTTCACTGGCTAAACCATATAGTAGATAGAAATTAGTATAAAATGCCTGGTATGCTTAGTATAAAATGGTTCAACTAATTGGCAATATCTGCAAAATGTCTTTCAGTTCATTAGTTTTTGTTTTATAACTTGTCTTATACTATGTGAGAGTGTGAATAAACACTGCATAGGATCAAATGATTTCTTGATGTACATTCCTAGTTGTTGGTGCGCAAGTGTCAATGAAAGTTTTACATTGGATAGAGTTAGGTATGTACAGTAACATGTAAGTGAGAAAATCTACAAAAATGATGTCTTAAGGTTTTGGGCTAAGATGTTGTATCCAGTTCCCATTGTGGAGATCTCTCCTGTGTTTAATCCCCTTTTATTCCTAACAAGCTAAATTCTAAGGGTCACTATTAAATACTCGTAGATGGAAAACTGTTTCCGCTTGAGGGAGTTGGGTATGTTAAATAACATATAAGTGAGAAAGACATATAAACTTGATGTCCTAAGATTTTAGGTTAAGATGTGGTGTCGAGATTCCATTATGGAGATCTCCCTGGTGTTTAACTCCTCTTGTGCTGAGAACACAAGTGGTTTCTTGTAATCGGTTATGAAAGTGACTTTTACTTGACACTTTTTTGACATAAATGATGGTTGTGTTGTGCAGGAGGATGAAAGCCTAAGGAGATGGAAAGAGAAGCTGTTGGGTTGCATGGAAAGTGAATTAGATGGTGTGCTTGCTTAAGGAGTTTGTGTTTATTATCTTTGTTTAACCTTCACACCACTTTTGCTTGGTTATGTTTAAGTTTTTCATTGTCAATATAGGTCAAATAGATCCTGAAGTGAAATTCCATTCCATTGGAATAATCTCTGAGGATTTTGGTGAAGTCATTACTCCTTTACCTGTGGATGAAAACAAAAATGGTCATATTCTGTTCACCCTCAGGGAGGGTTCTCAATATCAGCTTAAGCTCAAGTTTAGTGTTCTGCACAACATTGTTTCTGGCCTGACGTACTGCAACACTGTGTGGAAAGGAGGGCTTCAAGGTAAACTGTGAATGCTTTTCTCACATGGTTTTAAATTGTGGTCTGCTACAACTGTGGCCCCAATATTGCTGTTTTTGAGATCTCTGCAACTGCACGTGGCCACATTTGTCCGTAATATTGCTGATTACAATACAACTACAACTGCAATTTCTCTGTTGCTTAACTTGCCAGATTTTTTTTTTATTATTTGACTTTTAAAAATCATAGGTTTAAAACATTAATGTCTTGTCTCATGGCTCTGCAAACCTGGTTCTCTAGCTTTTTTGGATAATGTAAAATAAATGATCGTACAATACCCACTTAGTTAAGTTCGTGAGTTCTGAGCAAATTCTTTAATGTTCTTACTTTTGATTTGTTTGAGAAGCTATTGAAATTATTATTGATTATTTGGTCTATTTGTCTTCCTTCAAGTCTGGGTTTGGCCTTAAAGTAAGGTTGCATTTTTGGCGATCATTAAAGTCCCTTTTCATTGTACTTGTGGGAAGAATTTTTAGGTTTCATTATCCCCATAGCCCATAGGAGGGAAAAGGGAGCACCAGTCCACAAATGGTGGCTTGCTTGTGGTATAGTAAATGCTGTCTGTTAGATCTTCCTTTCCTCTAGGTGATATGATATGTTCATAAGTTGGAAAGGAAAATAAAGTAGTAAAACTCTGTAGTCCTTCGAACATGTTTGAATACAAGCTAAAAGTAAGAACCTTAAAGAATTTGCTGTAAAAGGCTCCTTATTTTCAAGCTCTTAAAAGTACTTCCAAACTTGTATCCAAACAGGCTATTTGTAGTTGTCAAATAATGGCTTCTTTAAGCAAATCACAAAGGAGGGGAGTGTAGTTTTCCCTGCATTTTAATTACCTGGTTTATTCATTGGCACTTACATTTTGTCAATTTGCACTTCTGTCTCTATTTTTGTAGGTAGTATGATTGTGCAAAAGACGCACATCTTTTGTTGACATTAGTTAATTGGTGATGACATGCATTACATTGAAAATTCATAATTTCATATATATTCTTGGGCATTTCAGTTGAACAGAGCAGAGGAATGCTGGGTACCTTTGCTCCCCAAAAGGAACCATACGTACATGCCTTAAAAGAGGATATCACTCCTTCTGGTGTGCTTGCAAGGGGTGTCTACTCTGCCAAGCTCAAGGTATGAAAAGTAAAAATAACGTGTGCTATACTTTATTTTGTAGTGAATTTGCTGTGTCTTCACTGTCTTGGGCCTCATGGTTGAAGTATTCTTTAACTAAACAATGCATTTTGCTTCAGTGTCTTGATTTGAAAGGCAAATTATATGGCTACTTATCTGCATAGTTTTATTAACTAGTATTTGCTATGTAAGTTTCATACTTGCATCTGAGATCGGCAACTTTAAGAATGTTATCATAACACTTGGAAATAGTGATCCATTTTTCTTTTTCTTTCTTTTCCCTTATGAGATTTCAACTTGTACCTGTTTGATTCATATCATGCTCTAGAGTCTAGACAGCCTGAATACTGGTTCACAGCTCTGTTGTGTGCTTGAAATTTGAAAATCCTAAAGACTCCTAACTTATCATTGTGCTATGGTTATCTAATTTGCAAATATATGAAGATGTAATGACTTCTATACTTTTTCTAGTTGTTGAAGTTGTTAGACAATAGCTTGTGTTTTATACACCATCTTTTGTGTATGTGTGTAATTTGCACAACTATGCCCATAAACTTGGCACTCTTTGTTTGCTATGTTACAGTTTGAAGATGATGACAGAAGGTGTCACATGGAACTCAAGTATTCATTAGAGATAAAGAAGAGGTAGTCCGGGTTGATGGCACATTCATAATGCGTCCTTTTTTATAATTTGAATTCTTTTTAATTTTGAAGTTATTGTTAATTATGCTATTCAGTACTCAAAGTTCTCATTTATTGTTGTGAGTTGTGACAATACTTGCTTGCTAATCTATCTACACAAACACAATGGTTGTTCTCATTTGTACACAAACAATCCACGAGAGTTTTCAAAGCGCTATAGTAATGCAAAATCCAATATTTTTGGATAGCTGAAAAGTACTTCCTATATGGTTGAGAAATCAACTTTAAATGATCTGAAGCATGAGAATTAATTAATTTTGTAGCTATAAAATAGGTACAATATGAATACATTAATTATCAGTGTTGGATGCAACTACTTCATACAGTTCCTTTGGTAACTTTAGGAGATGTGGTTCCTTAATTATCGATCAAAATAACATGATTGAGGTCCCACTAAGTGACAATAAGATAAACCGTTTGCTTCAAAGGTGGCATGAAAAGGAAGCATCACCATATCAAGTTTGAATGTTGATCGAAAACGGTGCAAGTGTTTCGAAAGTACTCATCAATATTTTGACCAGAGAAAAAGATGTTTACCTAAAAAATGATAGTATTTTAAAAAAAATAAATAAATTGAAGATAGTGTTCATAATTTAATGCATTTTCACTAATCTTGTAACGTTTATATGCTTTTTGGAGGGATCGGTGAAGTGGGCCATTCCGGAGTGACTCACTTAAAACAAAGAGACTTATTCTCCAATTTGATTGTTAAAAGAAAATCACTTGACTTGATTTGTTTTTTTGAATAATTTTATAAAATTATACGTATGGTATTTTTTAAAATCATTATATTATAAGTGTGATATCTATTAACTGATAACTAAACTTTATTATGGGATTTTATTTTTAGTGAGATTTTTTTCCTCCTTTGCCAAAGCCATTCCTGCCAACAGTGCTTCATACTCTGCCTGATTATTGCTCGCTCGGAACTCGAAGCGTAGTGACTGTTCCAACAGTATGCCCCCCGGACCTTCCAAGACAATTCTGGCTCCGCTTCCTCCT